GTGGGTAACTCGTCTGCATGTTGGAACTTCAAGATCTGTGCGCCTGTGTTCTGACCCCGAGTCTGACAAAACGTGTGTGTGTGTGTGTGTGTGTGTGTGTGTGTGTGTGGGTAGGTGTGGGGGTAGGTGTGTGTGTGTGTGTGTGCGTGTGTGCGTGTGTGTGTGTTGTCATATTCGCTATACAGTAGTATACACTAAAAAAAAGCATGACTGTGCCAGACTGTTGTGTGTGTGTGTGTGTGTGTGCGTGTGTGTGTGTGTGTGTGTTGTCATATTCGCTATACAGTAGTATACAGCATGACTGTGCAGACTGTTGTGTGTGTGTGTGTGTGTGTGTGTGTGTGTGTGTGTGTGTGTGTGTGTGTGTGTGTGTGTGTGTGTGTGCGCGTGTGTGTGTGCGAGCGTGTGTGATTGAACTCCAGCTCCAACAAACCTTTTTTCCATTCAACAACGGAAAAAACAGGCCGCCCCCAACACGCATGAGTGGATGGGTGTGTGTGTCTTCAAACCCCGGCGGGCCCAGCCATGAAAAAACTTTTTGCCAGTTCAAAACGGAAAATCAAATAGGTCCCCGCGACACAACGCGAAGCTTGACCTTGGGCAAAAGCAAACAGGAACAAACGAAGCGCAACATGTGATAAACTCAGCAAAAAAGAAAGAAAAAAAAAAAGGGTCCCCGAACCAAACACCACCGACATCCCCACACTGCGCCTTCAATGGCAGAGAGGGATCGCAATGTGACTGTACCGAACGTCTACGACTGGCAATCTGCAGGATTTCGGGTGGAGAACTAGAGTCCATGACACGAATGTTCGATGTAGACAGAGCGCCTGACCAGATGCAGATGACAAGCACATGAAAAAATGTGAAGCCTGGCGTGCAAGGACCAAAATGCTACAGAGCATTTTTGTTGATGGAGGCAAAAAGAAATCATGAGCTGCACCCCCACCTCTGGCTTATGACATCAGAGAGAGCTGATGGCAAGGCAACAATAACATGGCCAAAATCACCCTCTCTCTCTCTCTCTCTCTCTCTCTCTCTCTCTCTCTCAGAGACACACCTCGGAGTATCCCTGTTTCTCTGTGTAGACACTTACGCTTCCTCTCGCTACCTTTCTCAATCTCTCTCACTCCGTAGTGCAGAGCACTGTTCTCTCTGCGTACCACCCCCTTTCCCTCTCCACCCCTGCCTCTCTCCATGTACTTCCTTGTTCCTCCTGTCCCAGCATCCCTCTCGCCCTCCACCCCTGCCTCTCCCCTCCTTTTCCTTCTTGTTCATCACCCCTTGCCCCTCCGAATGTCTGTACCCTTCTCTGGTACAGCACTGCTGTACCCCTCTCGGTAAAGAGTCTCTTTCCTCCTGGGTCCCCGTCTCCAGAAAAAATTAAAAAGGCATATCTAGAATATACATATCACACGCTTAACTAGAAGATAGCGCCAGGCTGACACTAACAAGGCAAAGCAGCACACTGCAACTAACGGAATCCAAGATGCTCTCATTATTAAGTGTCACTGTCGCTGAACTCCATCAAAGCCATACACTCATATCTGCATGAAACACACAACCGCTACAGCTCCGCCCGGAGAACCAGCAGCCATGACCGCCCGCCTACAACAAGCCTGAACATCGAAAATGGTATCCGAACTCGGACGGGCAAACTCCATCAAACTCCAAATTGGCAAGGACAATCACCGTGCAGAGTTTATTGCCGACCACACCACTGTACACACAGGCCCACCGTCTGCTTCCTCCAGCTAGAAACATTTGTAGCTGGAGGAAGCAGACGAGAGGAAACATTTGTAACTGGAGGAAGCAGACGGTGACTACAAGAAAAGAGCTAAGTAGTAAATACCACTCACAGTTTTGAAGTGAAACAACAATTTGTGCATGCAGCTTCCTGCAACACCCGAACGGGCCAAAACAGCATGTTGAAAGAGTCAACTTGTTTTGTCTCTACAGTGTCTACACACTAACTAGCCTGTTTGCTTCGCCTCTCTCTGATTGCGTCAACCAAAAGCGTCACACTTCGATAGACACAGAGGCTCTACCTATCCGATGGTCCCAAGAACGACACAGAGGCTCTCTATCTATCCAATGGTCCCAAGAACGACACAGAGGCTCAATCTATCGAATGGTCCCAAGAACGACAAAGAGGCTCTACCTATCCAATAGTTTGAAGAACGACACTACGGCTCTATCTATCGAATGGTCCCAAGAACGACACAGACGCTCTATCCATCTAATGGTCCCAAGAACGACACAGAGTCTCAATCTATCGAATGGTCCCAAGAACGACAAAGAGGCTCTACCTATCCAATAGTTTGAAGAACGACACTACGGCGTCCGCATGGCCCTTATGGGCTGGGCTATCTATCGAATGGTCCCAAGAATGACACATAGGCTCTATCTATCCAATAGTTTGAAGAATGACACAGAGGCCCTATCTATCGAACAGTCCCAAGAACGACACAGAGGCTCTATCCATCTAATGGTCCCAAGATGGTTATGTATGGCAGAAACTATTCACCAAGCCAATCAACCAATCAACCAATCAACCAATCAATCAATCAACGAATCAACCAACTGATAAATCAAACAATCTTCATCTTCTTGCGACGAAGCCACAGCTGCTCCTCGGGGGAACCGCTCATCGACAGCCACATACTGCAGAAAAGGGCTGTTGTGAAGTTCTCCCTTCCCTCGCCTCGAAATCGGTTTCCCTCTCTGACTTACAGCACTCCACCAAGGGTTGCAGCGACCCTCAAATGCAATCCCCAACATTATAGGAGTGAGTTCTTCCAGCTGTCTCGCATATGTGTGACTGCAGCAGGGGTGAAGGTTACCCTTCATCGATATTCACCCTTCATCGATAGATTCTAACAAGATTGCCCATTGCAGCTCCGCACAGCACCGAAACGCAGCCAATCGGGATCCAGTCAGCAGCCGATCAATATTGAATTGCGTGGTGCAGGGCGATTGCACGACACGGCCTCTCCCATCTGAGGGCATACTCACACTAGGACTTTTTCCCACTTCTCTGTTGCCGTAATTGCAGTCAGGCGCATCCACGCCCGGTCGGAAGAGGGTTTATAATTATACCGTTATTATGGCGTTATATGCACATCCCAGAAAGTCCTAGTGTGAGTATGCCCTAAGACCGGGTAACGTATCCAATTAAAGTTAGTATAAACATTCTGAATCTTTTCTGATTGTGGTGTCCTCCTCCTTACCTTAGGACAATATAATCTGGTCCACCCAAGTTCATACAAGGGATTGAAAAGCCCGCCTACGTTTAAGGGAAAAAGTTTGAAAAACAGTAAATTAAAAAAAGAGAGAGAGAGAGGCTACTTGACATGCACCCCTATGAGCAGGGAGATCAGATACGAATGTCCGGCTCTGCTGGTCCCTGCAAACTCAGGCAGACGTTTACCTATTTCTCACCAAATGACACCTTGAAAGTTGAAACAGCTGTACAATGGCAGGCTTTCAAGTCCAACAATCCGATTCAGCCTGTGCGTGAAGAAACGCATCGTATCAAGTGGTTCGCAAACCAGTGGCCTCATGTGAGCGATCCGACAATGTCCAACAACGTGGCGTATGCGGCAGCTCATCGGCGACCGCCAACGTGGCATACACGCGCCGACCGACTACAGCCGCGTTCTCAGTCAGTCTCAGCAACAACAGGAAGCGACAAAATGACCACAAACTGCTTGGTAATTTTTCCAGGCCACCAAGCTGTGCAACGTACTGAGAATGCCGGCGCCGTGATGGCTGGCATGGACTTCTTTGACTGGAATGGGTGGTGGAGTGACAAACAGCCAACAAGGTCCACGCACTCAGAAGCTGATCCGCACACTCAGAAGCTCTTCGCTTCAGGATGCAGAGAAGATGTACGAGGCCGTGGTAGCTCAGCTCCGCCCTGTCCTTAGCGGAGACTGCTGCTGTTCGGTCCCCCTGTCTGCAGCAGCATGCATGCCTGTTGCACACATAATGTGAATCGATGCCAGTTTGCGACTAGTCGACAAACAGTTTTAAGGAAAAAAGCCCGACGTCCTCCTCAGCGCCACTAAACAACGGAGGCGCCAATCCCACGAAGTAGAGCTAGAAGCGGCAGAACCTTGGAGTCGATTTCCTTCATAATCCTGTGTGGACAAAGGCCGGCAGCATAGGCGTTGAGTTGTGCAGCCTTTGTGGACTGCATCAGCTCCGCTTCGCTCAGGTCGCTGACCAGTTGCATTAGCTGGGGGCGCTGTTTCAGCTCGAACTTCTGGTGAACTGGCTCTGCAGGGTAGAACACATCGAACCGCCTAATCTCCGTCTTGATGTCGCGAGCAACGTATTTTGTCTGCTCACTCTTTTTCGTCTCCTTTGCAAGCTGTTCTTCTTCAGCATCTCGTGTAAGGATTATCGACCGGTACTGCCTGCCTACGTCTGGCCCTTGGCCAAATGACTGCGTTGGATTGTGGTTCTTCCAGAAGATGTCCAACAACTCCTCGTAACTTATCACACTCGGATCGTAGTCGATCTCCACAGCCTCAGCATGGTCCACAATGTGGTTATAATCTGGGTTGACTTTGTTCCCACCAGCGTACCCCACCCTTGTTCGGATTACTCCTGGGAAGCAACCAAAGACGGCTTCTGCAGTCCAGAAGGAGCCAAGGGCAAATGTTGCGGTCTTGAACCCTTTCGACGTTGGCCCCCACTCTCCACCAAACACATTAACCTGCTTTGTCATTGAACGAAGTGCCATTGTCGAACCGCCCAGATGTACAATTAGCAGAACGAGCAGCCATGGACGAAGACTTGCAGCTAAGACCAGCGACCGAAATGGCATCCATGACAATTTCGACGCAGCCACCAGCCTCATGGGCCGGCGCCGTATGAACCCCATGACGAGATGCCGAATCCGGTTTCGACTTTCCAGATATAAATGATCAGAACAGTGCCTCCAGGGTTGGAAACAACCCTTGTTTATAAGTGACAATGCTGATCCAGATTCCAGAATCACACTGCCAGTGATAAGGTAGCAGGGGAGGGCAACTGCAGGGGAGGTACAACATGATACAACAACAGGATCACATTTGCTGCGCAGAGTTAGAAAACAGCCAGACCAACCACATATGGAATCAAGTGAGCACTGAGCACAAGCTGAATGTCTTTTTCGGAAGTTTTTTCCTCAAAGTGCAAACGATAAAAAAAAAAACAGAAGCTACAATTCGCACCTAAATTCTCACCAAGGAAGGGCCTAGCTTCCCAACAATCCAGGTAGGTTGCATGACAAGCAGGAGGAAGACACAAGGAAGTAGTTTGAGGGTTGGAGTAGGGCAATTGCTAACTCCCTCATAGACTGGCCAGGGCCATAACCAAGGACAAGAAGGGGAATGGCGGACGAGGAGGAGACAGAGGAGATGGCAATGGTAGGCATATGCTCTCATCCATTATGGAAAAAATGGGACAAAGGACCTGCAGGCCGTGGAGAAGACAACCAGTTTGGATACAGGAGTTGAATGAAGGTGAAGCTCCTATGTTCTTACCACGGGAAGGCAGACCTGTTCCTATGGGAGGCTGCTGTTAGACCCTACCTGGACATTCAGAGGATTGAAGAATGGACAATATAATGGCTGTTCGTATGGTGATGGAGGGAGATGTGTTGACCCTGCGGTAGTCACACGCACAGCCAGTTAGATTTCTCGTAGACCGCTCAAGGAATTTCATTTAGGCATGAATGTTCGAAATCTGGAATAGCCTATCATTACTAAGTTAGCAAACAGCAGTGACGCAATGGTGTCAGAATATGTTGAGGATGTGGAGGGATACTTCCAGCTGGAGAACTGGGAGTAGGTAGAGAAGGTATTACATTCCCAGGTTGCAGACTGTCTTAGTGGAGGAGAACTTGCCCTTTGATCTCATTCTGGGTATGGACTGGGGTGAGGAGGCACATGCACTCATGACCATGAAGAGGAAAGTCAGTGAAATCCCAGGGACGGATGGAGTGAAGAAACCAATCCGCCTGTATCATGAATCTTGATAGAACACCCATTGTCAATATGGTGCACGAGTGCACCTGTGTTCCTTAGGTATGTATTCAAACAAGAATTGACTAAACAAGTGTACATAACCCTAGTGAAGCCCATGCACACATAGGGAACGAGCGGAGATCAAACTGATACAAACAGCAAAAAGAAACTACCGGCCCCAATTAGAGACTTGTTAAAACAGCTTGTAGAACTCAAGGGGGCGCCTATGGAACTGTTAAAACTGTCTTGAACTGCAAGTACATGGCCCCAGCCTTGCAGAAAATGAACTCGACCCCACCACCGCAACTTTTGGGGCCAGGCCGCTGTTGATAAATTTCACCAATGGCCTTTGTCGCATTCTTGGCCTCCGAAAGTCGTGGTGAGGGGCCCGTGGACGATGTATGGCCATGTACTGGTGCTTTAAACCACCAGTACACCTGTCCCCAGTGGCGCCACGCCGTGCGCCAAGCTTTGCCGAACTGCCAGCAGCACACTTTTTCCCTTTTCTGGCTGGTAGCCCAGCCATTGTGGCCTAGTAGCCCTCTGGAATTTTTGGTAGGCCTTGAAGAAATCTTTCAAGGCTGGGGCTGTATACTTGCAATCAGGGGCAGCAGTTTCTTATACACACATATATATCGTCAAACAGCATGGTAAACCGTAGGCACAGAGGGAGAAGAGGACAACAAATGAAGGGCTGTGACAAACTGTTCCGTCGGAGTTTCACCGACTCATCAGGAGGCTGAACCCTAATGTCCTCTTCTCCCTCTCTGCCTGCGGTTTATGCTTCGATACAATCGAACACCAAATATTGATGAGTCTTCTGCATAAGAAGATTCAAGATGATAGATTCTTGACTCTAGTGCGAAGGCACCTGTATAAGATCAAGCGGCCTCTTATACGGTCGGTCGCTTTTTACAAAGACGAACACATTGCATTTTACAATGCCTTCGGCCCTCTTCTATCCAATGTGGTACTTCATGAGCTTGAGAAATTTGTCATGCGACTGAAGAGCATTGCCGAAAGAGGGTCGTCGATAGAG